ACCCCCACCCACCGTCCCGGTTTCTGCGCTTTCTACGGCGACTGCGGGCGCAACCCCGAGATCAACATCTCCCTGGTGGCCTCGGGCATCCCCTGCTTGGACAACAGCCCCGCCCGGGTGGCCACGGGGCCACTGCTGGCCCTCCTGCGCTCCGTCTGCCCCGAGCTGGTCAACCCCAACGGGACAACCCACGTCTGCTGCTCCCTCAAACAACTGGGCGACCTCCAGCTCAGCGTGGCCCTCTCGGGGACCGTCCTCTCCCGCTGTCCTTCCTGCGCCCGTAACTTCGCCAACATCTACTGCCAGAACATCTGCAGCCCCGACCAGAGTCTCTTCACCAACGTCACCCGCGTCACCACCCCCAGCGGGGCCACCAATTCTTCCGCCTTGGTAAGTGCTAACCCTTCCTTCTTGGTGGCCACCAACCCTTCCTCCTTGGTGGCCATCAACCCTTCCTCCTTCGTGAGCACCAACCTCTCCTCCTTGGTGGCCACCAACACCTCCTTGGTGAGCACCAACCCTTCCTCCTTGGTGGCCACCAACCCTTCTTCCTTGGTGAGCACCAACCCTTCCTTCTTGGTGGCCACTAACACCTCCTCCTTGGTTGAGCATCAACTCTTCCTCCTTGGTGGCCACCAGCCCTCTCTCCTTGGTGGACACCAACTCTTCCTCCCTGGTGAGCACCAACACCTTCTCTTTGGTGGCCACCAATCCTTCTTCCTTGGTGAATGCCAACACCTCCTCCTTGGTGGCCACCAACCCTTCCTCCTTGGTGAGCATCAAAACCTCCTCTTTGGTGACCACCAACTCTTCCTCCTTGGTGAATGCCAACACCTCCTCGGTGGCCACCATCCCTTCCTCCTTGGTGAATGCCAACACCTCCTCCTTGGTGACCACCAACCCTTCCTCCTTGGTGAATGCCAACACCTCCTCCTTGGTGACCACCAACCCTTCCTCCTTGGTAAGCATCAACTCTTCCTCCTTGGTGGCCACCAACCCTTCCTTGGTGGCCACCAACACCTCCTCCTTGGTGAGCATCAGCTCTTCCTTCTTGGTGGCCACCAACCCATCCTCCTTGGTTGAGCATCAACTCTTCCTCCTTGGTGGTTACCAACCCTTCCTCCTTGGTGAGCACCAACCCCTCCTTGTTGGTGGCCACCAACCCTCCCTCCTTGGTTGAGCATCAACTCTTCCTCCTTGGTGGCCACCAGTATCTCCTTGGTGGCCACCAACCCTTCCTCCTTGGTGAGCATCAAAACCTCCTCTTTGGTGACCACCAACTCTTCCTCCTTGGTGAATGCCAACACCTCCTCGGTGGCCACCATCTTTGGTGACCACCAACTCTCCAACACCTCCTCCTTGGTGGCCACCAACCCTTCCTCCTTGGTGGCCACCAACCCTCCCTCCTTGGTGACCACCAACACTACCTCCTTGGTGGCCACCAACTCTTCCACCTTGGTAAGCTCCAACACCTCCTCCTTGGTGGCCACCAACCCTTCCTCCTTGGTGAGCATCAAAACCTCCTCTTTGGTGACCACCAACTCTTCCTCCTTGGTGAATGCCAACACCTCCTCGGTGGCCACCATCCCTTCCTCCTTGGTGAATGCCAACACCTCCTCCTTGGTGACCACCAACCCTTCCTCCTTGGTGAATGCCAACACCTCCTCCTTGGTGACCACCAACCCTTCCTCCTTGGTAAGCATCAACTCTTCCTCCTTGGTGGCCACCAACCCTTCCTTGGTGGCCACCAACACCTCCTCCTTGGTGAGCATCAGCTCTTCCTTCTTGGTGGCCACCAACCCTTCCTTGGTGGCCACCAATATCTCCTTGGTTGCCACCAACTCTTCTTCCTTGGTGAACACCAACTCTTCCTCCTTGGTGGTTACCAACCCTTCCTCCCTGGTGAGCACCAACACCTTCTCTTTGGTGGCCACCAACCCTTCCTCCTTGGTGAGCATCAAGTCTTCCTCCTTGGTGGCCACCAACAGCTCCTCCTTGGTGAGCGCCAACCCTTGGTGAGCACCAACACCTTCTCTTTGGTGGCCACCAACCCTTCCTCCTTGGTGGCCACCAACCCCTCCTCCTTGGTGAGCACCAACTTTTCCTCCTTGGTGGCCACCAACCCTTCCTCCTTGGTGAGCATCAAGTCTTCCTCCTTGGTGGCCACCAACACCTCCTCCTTGGCGGCCACCAACCCTCCCTCCTTGGTGAGCGCCAACCCTTGGTGAGCACCAACACCTTCTCTTTGATGGCCACCAACCCTTCCTCTTTGGTGAATGCCAACACCTCCTCCTTGGTGACCACCAACACCTCCTTGGTGGTCACCAACCCTTCCTCCTTGGTGGCTACCAACTCCTCCTCTTTGGTTGAGCACCAACTCTTCCTCCTTGGTGTCCACCAACCCTTCCTCCTTGGTGAGCATCAAGTCTTCCTCCTTGGTGGCCACCAACCCTTCCTCCTTGGTGGCTACCAACCCTTGGTGAGCACCAACACCTCCTTCTTGGTGGCCACCAACTCTTCCTCCTTGGTGAGCATCAAAACCTCCTCTTTGGTGAGCACCAACCCTTCCTCCTTGGTTGAGCATCAACTCTTCCTCCTTGGTGAGCACCAACACTTCCTCCTTGGTGAGCACCAACCCTTCCTCCTTGGTGGCCACCAACCCTCCCTCCTTGGTGAGCATCAACTCTTCCTCCTTGGTGGCAACCAATACCTCTTTGGTTGCCACCAACCCTTCCTCCTTGGTTGAGCATCAATTCTTCCTCCTTGGTGACCACCAACACCTCCTTGGTTGAGCACCAACTTTTCCTCCTTGGTGGCCACCAACCTTTCCTCCTTGGTGGCCACCAACCCTTCCTCCTTGATTGAGCACCAACTCCTCCTCCTTGGTGGCCACCAGCAGCTCCTCCTTGGTGGCCACCAACCCTTCCTCCTTGGTGAGCATCAAGTCTTCCTCCTTGGTGGCCACCAACAGCTCCTCCTTGGTGAGCGCCAACCCTTGGTGAGCACCAACACCTCCTTGGTTACCACCAACCCTTCCTCCTCGGTGGCCACCAACCCTTGGTGAGCACCAACACCTCCTTCTTGGTGGCCACCAACTCTTCCTCCTTGGTGAGCATCAAAACCTCCTCTTTGGTGAGCACCAACCCTTCCTCCTTGGTGAGCATCAACTCTTCCTCCTTGGTGGCTACCAACCCTTCCTCCTTGGTGAGCACCAACACTTCCTCCTTGGTGGCCACCAACCCTCCCTCCTTGGTGACCACCAACACTACCTCCTTGGTGGCCACCAACTCTTCCACCTTGGTAAGCTCCAACACCTCCTCCTTGGTGGCCACCAACCCTTCCTCCTTGGTGAGCATCAAAACCTCCTCTTTGGTGACCACCAACTCTTCCTCCTTGGTGAATGCCAACACCTCCTC